AAAGTACCTATCAGCTAAGGCTTCTTCTACTGTCTCCACACTATAAATAGTCCTAGTTTTACCCCAATAAAGCTGGAGCTGGAGCTGAATCACTGAGATCTGAGCTGAGTCACTTGTCTGAAGCTGTAACACTAAATCCTGTGATCCGGTTGGGGGGGGGGCTTTCCTTCCGTCATCAACTCACGAAGACCCTGCTTTCGCCGTTTCTCGCACCTCCCCTCATGACCTGGTGGCCAACAGGTCTCTAACTTAGAGAGAGAGTGCATGGTGGAAATTGAAACGGAACCCGACCAGGCAGCTGACAGCGGTCCTAGAGCCGCCAGCTCCGGTAGCAGAGACCCACAGCAATGCGGTGCACAAAACCCGCGCACCCCAGTGGCGGAGAGCCAGGGGCCCGAACAGCAGACGCGGCCTGTGGGACCCGCTGCACTCCAGCGATGTGTGGGAGACCGGCGCCACGCCCAGCAGCTGGCGCCCCAAGATCCCCGCATGCCCATATCGGGTGGCCTTCTTAAACTCGAAAGCACATAGGTGGGATTACCTGTGAAGGTGTGTGTGTGTGTGTATGATCTTATTAAAATGCAGGTGCAGATTCAGCAGGTATGGAAGGGCCTGGGGTCCCTTTCATGTTTCAAAGCTGTCCCTGGCCCTGTGCCACTCCCTGAGCACTAAGGCACTCTGTATCTCCTTGGGGTCCAGTCTGAGAAGGTGGGGAGAGGCTCAGTCCAAGCTGCCACCACTCCTAAAGTTTTAAGTAAAACACGTGAGGTAAGAGGAGCCTAGGCAGACAGAGAAGAGGGGTGCCCCACAAAGTCACTGTGGAAGTAGGGTACCTCTGTGTTGCTGCACTGGGCTGTGAGGAAGCTCTCCAGAGTGATGACCTGAAAACTCAAGGGTTTGTTCTAGGAACCCAAGAGGTTTGGGAGGGTCTCTGACTCCAGGTGCCAGGAGGAAATGGCTGACATAACAGTTACGTCAGGTCACTTACCTGTCACAGTGGCTGAAGACAGGGTGTGTGTGTGTGTGTGTGTGCATGCAGCAGGCAGCACTGTGGACCATGGCTGGGACTACTGGAAGACCACAGAGATGTTGGAGAACACTGTCCTTCAAGCACAGCAGCTCTTACTGTCTTTATTAGATCAGCTGGGACTACATGCAGGAGACCCTCAAGATCTGGTCTGCTGACTTTCCCTCATAGGAGGTGGCAGGGAGGGTCATTAGGTCCTTACTCAAGATTCTAGCTACTCCTTTCTTTAAAAAAAAAAAAACTTTAGTTTTTATGTGTGTGTGTGTATTGCCTCCATGCATGTAAGTGCACCTGTGTTATGCAGTGCCTGCACAGGCCAGAAGAGGGCACCAGATCCCCTGGAGCTGGAGTTATGGGATGGTTGTTAGCTGACATGTGGGTGCTGGGATTCAAATCCAGGTCTTCCGCAAGTGCAGCCAGTGCTCTTAACTGCTGAGCCATTTGGCTCATTTTACACCCTCTTAAAATTTCACAAAGGAGATTAGAGTTCAAGAGGCGGTTTGGTAGTGCCACTCAAGCCATGGCAGCAGGTCTGACCTGTGTTGATCCTTTACTGAGGAATAAACTCTTTGGTCTCCCAGCTTTTTTTTCTGGAATCTTCTATTTAGCTATCCATATAGGGAATTGTTTACTTTGTTACATTTTATAACCGAGAACATTTAAAAACAAACTTTCAGCTTTTATTTTGCCACTGAACACTAACTTCCATAAGCCCAGTTTTTCAGGAATCCTGTTATCTCCCACTGGGAGTATCCTTCTCCTGGAATAGCTGAGACTTGAGAGCTTGCTGGCTGGTCTGCTTCTTTCTCACCTCCAGGACAGAACCTAACATTGTCATTATAGCATATGTCACATGGGGTTGCTGTTGGACATTCTGGTACAGCTTAGTGAATGCTTGTCCACCTTGGTTGCTCTCCCTTCCTAGGTCAGATATCTGCCTACATAGGCCAAAGTGGGGCCACACACAATTTCCAAACTATGGTCTCTTGGTTCATTCACTCCAAGTTCAGCCAGATAGTTAGAGCTCCAGGGGTTTCCAGCCTCAAACACATATTGGCCCCAAACCAGCCTGTACCATTAGCTCAGGCCATTGGTCCAGATTCCCCTTTATCATGGGGTCTGCAATGTGGTGTCTTTTCCAGACAATAAATCTCATCAAGAGCACCCCAACTCATCAGAGAGGTTCCAGGACCACTGATCCGCAAAAGGGGAGCTGTTAATGATTCAATCTTTTTGCTTCCCTGAAGCCCATCCCTAATCTCGGTCCACCCCTGGGCAATATGGTTGGACATCCTAGCAACAACTTCCATTAATAATAGTACTAGTGCCACAGCACCATGGGCCAGTATCTTTCTTCTCTTTTCCTTTCTTTTTTCTTTCATTCTCTCTCTCTTCTTTTGTTTTTTGAGGCAGAGTTTCACTCTGTAGCCTAGGCTAGTTTTGAACTCATGATCCTCCTGCCTTAGACTCCTGAGTGCTGTTTTTAAGTTTGAGCTACCACACCTGACCCCCTCAGCATCCCTTTTACCCTTGAAAGAATCATACAGTCTCTACCCTGAGGGTGGACTAGAGGTGAGGTAGCTCTGAGGGGCACTAGATGAGCTTTTGTTTCACTGAGCGGGTTATACTAAGGAGAAGAGTTAGATGTTGGACTAGAGGGCAGAAATACTTAGTTACTTGGGGCCATAGGAGCAGAAAGGAAAGATCCAGGGCAGCGGAAAAGAACAGTCTTCCAGGAACTACCTTTCGATTTGGTGATACGTCCTGTGAATCTCTCTTCTGGCTGCCCACGAAAACCTGAGTAAGACCCTCTCTTCTTTTCTGCAGTACTGGGGATTGAATCGAGGGCAGCTCACATGCTAGGCAAGCACTCATCATTGAGCTACATCCTCAAGCCCCCTTTTTATTTTGAGTTGGAGTTTCTCTAAGTTGCCTAGGTTGGCCTTGAACTCATTTTCTGTATTGTGGGCAAGACTTGAACTTGCAATCCGGCTTAAGGTCTACATTACCTGCAAAGCTTTTGTCTTTAGACACAGTCGACTTGGCACCCAAGGGACACAAGATGGGTCTTCCCAGGGAGCCCCTCTGCTCAACACAGACCAGAGGAAGGGCTTGTCCAAAGCAGCCCAGCAAGGTCCACCAGCCACGGCTCCTCAGCTTGAAAATGAGCCCCAAGCAACCCATGAGCGAAGGTGACCCCAGGTCTCCGGGCCCAGGGCGCCTGCCGGGCCCACTCAGGACAGATACTCGCGCACCGTGAGCTCCTTCAGCGTGAAGCCGCGGTGGGCAGGTGTCCGGAGCTGGCTGTCGTCCAGCCTGCCCTGCAGGGACACGAAGTCCTTGCCCAGCGCGTAGGCCAGGCGCACCATGGCGTCGAGCAGCGGCGCGTAGTAGCGGTGGCTCTCGCGGGCCTGCAGGCGGCGCAGCGCGCGCTCCCCGGCCTCGAAGGCCTCGGCCGGCCGCTCCAGGTCGCGCAGGCACACGAGCATGGCGCAGAGCGCGGGCACGGCGGCAGCCGGGCAGTGCGCCGTCAGCTTCTCCTGCAGCGGCACCACGCGGTCCAGCACGTCGAGCGCGCGTGCGTACTGGCCGGCGCGCAGGCAGCCGAAGGCCTCGCGCAGCTCGGGCCGCGTGAGGAAGTCGGTGAACTCGCGCGAGCGGCGCACCGGGTGCACGGCGTACAGCAGCCGAAGGTAGTCCCGCAGCGCCAGGCGCCGCTCGCAGATCGTCTCCGCCGACAGGTTCCCCGTCAGGCGCTTGCGCGGGAAGGCCACGTCCTCCAGCTCCGCCCCGAAGCGCTTCAGGAGGGCCTTCTGTAGCCGGTGGAAGTCCGAGTAGCGCCGTTCCAACACCGCCTTGTTGCTGTCGAAGCTCCCTGTCTGGATGACCACGATCTGGTACACCTGCAGGCAGAGGAGAGGAGGCTAGCTCAGGGAGGCTCCTAGTGGGCCCTGCATCGTGTGTGTGTGTGTGTGTGTGTGTGTGTGTGTGTGTGTGTGTGGGTGTGGGTGTGTGTGTGTGCGCGCGCGCGCGCGCGCGCAAGGAGCTGGCTTCAGGTGGACCTCCAGTGAGCCCTGCACCCTGTGTGCGTGTGTGCCTGTGTGTGTGTGCACGTATGGAAGGAAGCTAGCCTCCAACAGACCCCCAGTGGGCCCAGCATCCGGTGTGGGCATGTGTGTACGTGTGTGTGTATATGTGTGCACGTGCAAGGAAGCTAGCCTCAGGCAGACCTCCATTGAGCCCCGCATCTTTTGTGTATGTGCGCGTGTGCAAGGAGGAGGCTAGCTTCAGGCGGACCCCCGGTGGGCCCTGCATCCTCTATGTGTGTGTGGGCAGGGCTGTGGGTAGAACCCTGGGCCTTGCACAAGCCTGGCAGGTGCTCCACCACTGAGCTGCAGCCTCAGCCCCTTCAACTGTTTTTGAGACAAGGGTTAGATGTGTAGTTCAGGCTGGTTTTGAACTCTGGTCCTCCTGCTGCAGCCACCCAAGTGCTGGGATTGCAGGTGTGCCCTGCCTGTCTGCAGTCTTGTTTTCTTCCTTTCCACCTTTCTTCCTTTCCACCATGCCTGGCCCCCTCTTTTTTAAAGCACATACTAATTTTACAAAATGATGGGTTTCATTTGACTTTTTTGAAAAGTTTTAAAAAAATATTTCTTTAGTATGTATATGCATACGTTCATGTGCCCTGTTGTGTGTGTATGCGTGGGGGGGGGTGCCAAAAGAAAACTTGTGGGAGTTGGTGCTCTCCTTCCACCATGCAGCTTCTGGAGCTGGAACTCAGGTGGTCAGTGGCATGCGCCTCCACCCGGTCTCAGCAGCCCTCATTTGACATTTTCCTGCATGTAGATAATGTACTTTGAGGATAGTCATCCCCCCAGTATCCTTGCTTGTGCCTGCTTCCTTGCTGTGCAAGGTAGTTCGTGGCAAATAATCGGCCCTGGAATAACACACAGTGCTTAGAGGCATCTTGGAGGGAAAAGAGCACAGGAACTTGGCTGTAGAGGCTTTGTATTGTCAAAACTGGGACGTTGGTGTTGTGAATGCAGAATTGTGGAGTCCCGAGTGGAAGACGGGGTGTTTGTTTCAGGTATGATGTACCATTCAGGCACACTGGCAGTGAAATAGCAAGCAGGATTCTGTCTCAATTTCCTTTCAAGATAATACTGATTAACACCTTGCAGCCAGACTGTCTTTCAGCCAGACAGCTGGTCTGGCTGTGAGGTTTTAGATTGGTAATTTAACCTCTCAGTTTTTCCATGCATAAGTCAAGGATAGGAATAGTTCCTGATTTACATGTGAGGATTAAATGAATGAATGGGCTGAAACCAGGAGAAGCTGTGCCCAGTGTGCACTGGTAGCTACTGCTACTGTCCTGATCCCAGTGAGGTGGCAGTGCTAGGGTGTCCTGATCCCAGTGAGGTGGCAGTGCTAGGGCGTCCTGATCCCAGTGAGGTGGTAGTGATAGGGTGTCCTGATCCCAGTGAGGTGGCAGTGCTAGGGCGTCCTGATCCCAGTGAGGTGGGAACGATAGGGTGTCCTGATCCCAGTGAGGTGGGAACGATAGGGTGTCCTAATCCCAGTGAGGTGGGAACGATAGGGTATGGCTTTTCTATCTTCTTAAAACAGGCTGGTGTTCCAATCTAACAAAGATGGCAGTCCTCATCAGGGAGCTTCCCACAGGCATGATTAGCAGCTAGAATTTAATAACAGACCTCAACTTTCTTTATATTTACTTTTTTTTTTTACAGTTTTGAATCACTTATTCTTTTTAAAACTTCTAGAGCTAGAGGTATAGCTCAGTGGCAATTATAATTGTTTTTTCCCTCATGTCATGTGAAACTGATATTTTATTGAAATGTAATGCTTTACAAAAGCAGTTCAAAGAAAAAAACCAAGTGAATAACCATAGTTATAGAAGGTGAAGAGCTAAGCTACAGATGGCTAACAAGCGGTACCATGGGATTGACTGGGGCTGTTCCTTAGGATCAGGAATGACTCAGGCATCTCTAATCTTCATGGGAATTCATGTTGGCACCATGAAACTTCAATTTCTCTAGAAGAATCTGGGTTTGTGTTTCAACTCATTTCATGACTGAGAAAGCTGAGATCTCTCAAGACTTGCTCAGGGCCATGCAGGAGGCGGTGACCTGGCTCCTTTATATCTGAGCTCTGCTTACCACAAACTTGGAGACTCTCCTCTCCTCGATGCGGGCTGAGGCGATCTCAAATAGCAGCCTGACGTGTTTCCAGCGGCTCTTCTCCTTCTGCCAGTGCTCCTGCAGCTCCCGTGTGGTCATGTTGGAGTTAGAGCTCGGACCATCTTGGGCATCTGTGTCCTTAGGGATTCTGCAGTAGGCAGTGCCCTCTAGCGGTGAGGGCGTGGAGTGGGGGAGATAGCTGGGCCTGTCTGGGATGTGTAATTATTTCCTTGTTCCTACTCTCAGTCCTAGGTCCGGTTGAGCCATCATCCAGACCCTTGTGAATCCACCCAGCCCTGTCAACCTCAAATAGCCCAGCACCTCAATTACTTCTTGTGAAATACAGTGTGAGTCTGTTACATCACCCACTTCCGGCCTGGAGAGGAACCATTTTGCAGCTCTGTGCTCCCGGCAAATAAGACACCCAAGCCTGTCTACCTCTGTACTCCCAACACTGACCTTGGGTGGACATGAGAACCCACCAGTGTGACGGAGGGAGCTCTGAAGAGCTCATGTTTCAGCCTCAGCCTCCACGGCCCTTGCTGTACTAGCTCTCATCTTGGGGCCCACCTACCATGCCTCTGCCTTTGAATCTGTTCCTCCTGTTTTCTTGCCTGGAAACCAACAGCGTTTCTTAAGCCTCATTTGAACGCCACACCTTTCTGAGAATCAGTTTAGTTTCCTCCTGCCACAACTGCACAAATAATTGTGCATTTATTGCAAGAGGTTCATGCCTGGGAAACTTTGTCTTGTGTGTCTACCCTGCTTATATGTCAGTTTTCACTCCACCTCTTGACACTGGAGTGAGAGCTTCCCACTTTGTTCCAGCAGCCTTGTTTTGGTGGCACTTCTAATTATTTTTTCATTAATGTTTCTCCACTGAGCTTGAAGGCTAGGGTGGTGATCTGTTCCACTTTCTGCGTGTACATGGACCACCCCAGGCTTCTGCAGGCCCATCTTCAATGAGTGTAAGGAAAGTTTTTTCTAGGAGATGGCACTATAGCAGACATTGCCAGTGGTGGGCCAGGTCCTTTTGACACCTACTGTTCTGGAGCATACTACTAACTCCCTTGGGGAAGCACCTGTGACTCAGAGTCCTAAGGCCTTTCCAGGGCCACAGCAACATGCTTCCCTCAGCACATGCAGGAAGGGATGCTGGATAATTCCTGACTGCTTTATCCCTTGATTATACATCTCACATTTGTTCTCTACACCTTTCCAATGACCCTCATTGGGACTGAGATCCAGTCACTTGCCCCAGTCATGTGATCATCCATCACCAACATGGGCTGCTACTCTTTTCTTGCTCACATTTCCTGCAGTATCTTAGAGGGTGATCTCCCACATAAACAGCTTGCACCACACCCTTGTCTTGGGGGCCTGCTTGGGATGATCCAAGTTAAGACAGCTGCCCATCTGTCTTGCTAAAGCCATTGGAGTGCTTCAGATGTCTTTAAATTTCCATCTCCATCATTGAACCTCAAACCCTCAAGCTCACCTGAGTGTTCTTCTGGTCCTGGACGTGGGAAGTCTGGGCCTGAGGGCAGTGCTTCCTGCCTGGTCCTTGCTGTATACTGGGTAATGGGTCCTGCCAAGCCAGGGCTGCCAGGATACTCTGGATTTGCCATGCTCAGAGGCTGCTAGAAGCACAAGAGAGAATAGTGAAACCCACTTGCTGGTCTCCTGGAGGTGCCTGGGATCCCTGTTGGCATTTAGGGAGGAATAATGACCCCTCTGCTGGATGCTTTGCGTTCCACCCAGCTGCAGATTGAACCTGGTCTTCCCTAGGATGGACCAAAGGCTCCCAGGCAGACAGACCCTTGTGTTCGAGTTATGATCCTGTGCTATTCTCTGTTGCTCAGGATTTCACACGAAGTGGTGTGAAGTGATGCCAACAGCTTTGGCGATTTACCTGGGAGAAAGATGCTGGCTAGTCCAGTAAATGTCCCACCACTCAATTTTATATTACCGTGCAACCCCTCCAAATCCCTCTCTTATCTACCTTTAAACCATTTGCTGACCATTTATTAGGGCCACTTCATTTCCTCTAGCTCTTCACACCCCCTCTCCAATATAACACCTGCACAGTTTTAACATTTCTGCCATAGAACAGGTAAGGAAACAGGTCTAGCCCAAGGTGGCTGGTGAGTGTACCAAGGAGCAAAGAAGAATTTCTCTTAAAGGCTGAGATGTGCTGGCTGTGTACTCACTTTTAACATACTCTCGATCTGACCAATCCCCTGCAATAGGGACTGTTTCTGTTACCGCTTTGTAATAAAAGAACCGAGATGCAGAGCTGCCCAACAGCAAAGGCTGGTGTGTGGCGCTGGGATGCCAGCCCAGCTTGGCTGACTGCAGCGTCCTCTCTCACCAGAGGTGATCAGGAGGCAGGCAGCTGGCCAGCAGGCCACCCACTAATTCAGCAGGCCCCAGTTAAGAAAATGGGGCGACTTGGCAGCTGTCAGATCATCCAGCTTCTTTATGCCTCAGTGTCTTATAAAATGGGCACAAGAAGCTGAGTATGGTGGTGCACTCCTTTAATCCCAGTACTCGGGAAGCAGAGGCAGGCGGATCTCTGTGAGGTTGAGGCCAGCCTGGTCTATATAGTTAAAAAATATGCATAATCTTTTGGGATTGACTGTTTTATCGCTCAACATATTTTTTTTGTAAATTCATACGAGTTTTTGCATATATTAATAGTTCATTTCTCTTTACTGCTGAGTAGTATTTCAGGAGATGTATGTACCACACTGTGTCTTGAAGAACATCCAAATCATTTCTAATGTCAGGCTATTAAAATCAAAGCAGTTAATGGTCAGGCATGGTGGCATACACCTTTAATCCCAGCACTCGGGAAGCAGAGGCAGGCGGATCTCTGTGAGGTTGAGGCCAGCCTGGTCTATATAGTGAGTCCCAGGCCAGCTGTGGCTACAGGGAGACCCAGTCTTAACAACAACAACAATGATGATGATGATGATGACGATGATGCACAGCATAGGCCTGCTACATGGAACTCACACACCAGGCACTATACAGTTGTCCCTGTTACTAGGATCTGACACACACTAGATGTTTGAGAAATAGTTATGAAATAAATAAATAAAAATGTAAACTGGGATAGAATTTAGAGATGGCTGCAAATTAGGGAAAGAGATAATAAAACATTCTCAGATGGAACAAGTGGCTGGGCACCTTCTCCACACGTGGGTTAGTTTTTTCATCACTGACAGAATACCTCATATCAACAGGTAGGGAGGATTTATTTTGTTTAGTTTCAGCTTATCATGGTGGGGAGGGCATGTCAGCAGAACAGCTCACCTGGTGGCCAGAAGTAGAGAGAAGGTCTACATTAAATGAGGGCTTCCTCTCTCTTTCTCCCCCTCCCTCCCTCCCTTTCTCCTTCCTTCTCCCTCTCCTCCCTCTCTCTTCCTCTCTCTCTTAAAATATTTATTCATTTGTTGGTATGTGCCACAGTGTACATGTTTGTGGTGGTCATAGGCTAACTTGCAGGAGTAGGTTCTAGCCGTCCACCAAGTGGGTCCCTGGGATTGCACTTAGGTTGTCAGGCTCAGCAACAAATGCCTTTAAAAACTGAGCCATCCCATTCATTGGTCCACACGTTCTTCTTTTACCCCACCAGGGCACCCAGCTTTTGGGATGGTGCTGCCCACTTTGAGGGCAGGTCTTATCTGCTTTCTTAGTCAACCGTGGAAATGCCCGCATAGCTACACCCAGAGGTGTGCTTCATCAGGCTCCTGGCGGATTTTAAAGCCAGTCAATTTGACAGGATTAGCCATCATAGCACAGGAATTCAAAATAAAAAGAGCACTTTGACCTTACCTCCTCTCAGGACCATTAGTTGGCCTAGCCGAGGGAAGTCAGTGGAGCTTGAGCTCATGCTTCAAGGGGTGGCTCTTGATGTGGCAGGTGGAAGGGACCCTGGACTGTTTTCTGGTTGGCTTCTGAGCAGTGGCCTATTGGGTACCTTCAGGCACCCTCCATCAAGCCTCATATTTACATGTGGGCAAACTGAGGCACACCCTGCCCTCACCTCTCCACATCCTCAGTGACAAAGATTTCTAGGCTTTGCAATAAAACATGCAGATTCTGATGCTGTTGGCCAGAGCAGCATCTCAGCCCCCTATACCCTCCAGCTCCCCTGCATGACAGTCATTCTTTGTGTTTTCCAGGTGCCTTGCCTCTGGCTTCCCACTTCAAGGGATCTGGCCATCTTCAGTGACCCTTGTGGGAACACAGTGCCACTTACAGAGCCCAGCCACCTTTCTTGGAGTTTGCAGGGGTAGGGTATGTGAACCTCTAGTAGAGTGCAGTAAAGCCCCCTGTGCTGCCCTAGGAGACCGAACAGTGACTCATTTGGAGGAGTAGGAAGGAAAAGCTGGTGTGGCAGCCCTGGCCTCAGAGGAATTTGGGTTTTATTGTAAGCTCTGCATTCTTGATCAGCTCTCCCAGGTCTTCATTGGAGGGTCAGCCAAGGTATCTCCACCTCCTCCTGCTGAGGAAGGGTGTCATAGAGGGACTCCTGAGTACTTCCCCTCCTCACGGCCCCCCACCCCCAGAAGCCTGGCCCAGGCAGGGCTTTCACATGTGGGTGTGCTTCAAAATCCCCAGTGGGACTCCGGGAGAGGAAGTGCTGGGGGCTTGAACCAAAGCAGACTTCCTGCCTAAAAGCACCCAGAGAGCCCAGCTAATAGAGCTGAGGTAGACCCTGGATTCTGCCCTTTGTTTCAAGGTCCCCAGTTCTACTCTTTGAGAATCTAAAGTCTAGACTTGTTGCGCAGGACCAGGAGTGGGCCTGGCGTTTCAAGAGGGATTGAGGTAATGGGGTGGGGATGGGAGCTGCTCAGGAGTATACTCAGGAGAGCTCCATAGGTAGAAGCTCTCACAGCCTCGACCCCTCCCACCCTGGCATACCTGAGGGTCCTCAAGGAGGTGACTGAGTTCCAGTGGCCTTGGGGTCAAGCACTGAGTGACCTAGAGTCTTCAGGGTTCATGGATCTAGGGGTCCAGGAGAGTCACATGGTCCCCTCAGCTCTCTGTTACAGCTGCCGCAAGCAAGTTGAACGTCTGTTCCTCTGCTAAATTCTCTGTTTGAAAACAGGAAATAGGCTGTGTGACCTGCTCCAGAGGCCCCAGCTCATTGGCTGCTAAAAGAGGTATATGGAGCCCCAAGGACAGATGTCTGTGGCACGTCAGACCTGCGGTGTGGTGTAAGAGTGGCCACAGGAGTGCTCCTTGGCCTCACTTTCCAGCAGCCTCCAGCAGCTCATTACCCGTTAGACACCTGGACAATCTCTGGCATTTGGATAATTGCCTCCAAAATCCTTTGTTTTAGTCCTCTTCTGTGGCAATGACAGAAGACCACAGACTGGAAAAATTATAAATAAAAGTTTATTTAACTTTTAATCCTGGAGCTGGGAAGCCTAAGGATACAGTGGCAGTGTCTGGAAATGCCCTCAGCAGTATGACATGACATGGCAGAAGGTGAATAAGCAAGACAGGGCTGATCTTATGGGTCTGCTCTTGTGATAACTAACCAAGTTCCCCATGATGGCATTAATCTGTTTATGAAGGCTGCCTTCATGACCCAGTCACCCCTTCCTAGGCCCCACCTCCCAACTCCATAGTGTTGGGAATCATACTTCTAACACATAGATTTGGGAAACACATCCTTTCAGTATTGATTGTCTTACCTATAAACTAGGCATGATGTAGACTTTCATGCCCTGTGATGTATGGGAGAACCAAGGCTTAGAACACCCAGCTAATAGGATGTAGAGCCAGTGCCTGACGTGGAAGACCATTAGTTGGGTTTTAGGTTCCCAATTGGTGCAAAGCTATGTTCAGCACTAGTAAAAGAAAGTTCCAGGGAAGACAGACCACAGCTCAGGGATGTGACTCTTAGGCCACAGTGTTTGTGGCCTTAGGGGCAAGAAGTTAGAAAAAGACAAAAAAAGGGACCTTGTTATCCACCCCCTCAGAATGTCTCCTGTGTGTCTTTGCAGCCACAGTCCTTTCCCCCATCAGAAATGGTCTCAGTCCTGTCACTCCTTGCTTTATAAACTTGCCACCTGTGAACAGATCCATGAACACTGGAATTTCATTTTACTTATTTTTGAGTTGTATATATATTAAGCCATACATACTACTAGGATTCTTTGGTGTCTTGCTTCTTCAACATTGTGTAAGGGTCAGTGGTTTTGTGTGTGTGTGTGTGTGTGTGTGTGTGTGTGTGTGTTTTGCTAGAGTTTTAAATCTTCCTGTTGGTACATTGCTCCATTATTTGAACTGCTTATTCTTTTTTGGGTCTGTGATGCCTTTTCGGGTTGTTTCTAGGGTGGCCGTCAAGATCGTGCTGATGATTAAATTCTTAGCATTTAGTTAAGTCTGTGTGACTGAGGGGGCACGGTCTTGAGAAGAAGAGCGTCCAACTGCAGCAGACTGTGCCAAGACACTCCCCATTGTGGCTACTGTCTTGTGTCCCACCAGCCGTGGATGGTGTGAGAGCCGGGTGTACCATCTTCTCTGTCTTTGATTTGACCAGTACTTTCCATAGCCATTCTACAAGGTGTAAGTAGTTCTGTCTTATTTACATTGTATCTTCTGAAGAATAGCAGTGGGGATCTATCTCTTCTTCAGTGTGCTGTTGTTTGAGTCTATTGCTTGTCTTTTATTGAATGACTCTAATGGTTGCCATTGTGCTGTATGTGTTGTTTGGGAACATGTGCTTTTCAGGATCCTTTCTCTCCTTTGGCTCACATTGGTGCTTACTTAATGGGATCTCATGATAGATAGAGATTGCCAACCATATTTAATCAGATCAATCTTGCTTTTCATAGTCCTGGAGTTTTCTCCCTAATTTGTTTCTGCTCCAATCCCACAGGTCCTTGGGAGGCTAAGATGAATCAAAATGTGCTGCATTTAGAAGGGTGCCAGCAAAACCTCCATAGTTTGCCTCTCCTCTGGGCTCTGTACTGCTTCTGTTTACCGCCTGACCTTATTTATAGAAATGGCACCCGGTCCTACCTCTTTGCACTGCTGTCACTGTCATACAAGGAGCACCCATATTCGTTAAGGTCTGTTTCTGTCATGAGCTCAAGGGAACTACTGTGCATGCTGTGCCTCTGGTCTGCCAGCCCTGGGTGCAGTGACCATATCTCATTTGCTTTTGTCTCACACTCCCTGGCAGAAGGCCCAGTATGGCATGGACTTGAGAGATTGTAGAGGGAGGCTGGGTCACTGCCCTTCTCTCCCTGTCCTGTCTTTGCTGTGATCTGTGAGAGCCCAGGGCAGGTTTTGCGCCCTCCTCACCCTCCCAGCCCACCACCTAGATTAGCAGCCACAGGGGAAGAAAGTGTGAGTCCCTGCTTCCTCTTTTGGGGCTGGGAGCCATTCTTTGGAAACCCCCTGACATGAAAGGTATATCTGGACTATGTTGTAGGGACACAGGTAGACCAGTGTGATCAGAAGACTTGGTCATCTACTGGGTATTAGCTGTTCTCTGCAGCCCAGAGTCTGCTGTGGCAGAGAGAAACAGGCAAGGGCCATATCTTGTCCCCTGGGGCTACTGTAACAGAATGCCATATTCTAGGTCCTTAACCAACAATTGTTTAGTGTCTTACAGTTCTGGGGGCCTAAGAAGTTCAACATCAAGGCAATGGCAGATTCAGTGTGTGTGAGAGCCTGTTTTCTGGTTTGTAGATGGCTGTCTTCTCGTTGTGCCCTTCTTTGGTCAGCAGAAGGCTAGAGAGCTCTCAGGGTTCTCTTTTTTAAAGGGCATTAGTTTCATGTTGTCTCCACTTCATGACCTAGTCATCTCCAGAAGTTTCCATCTCTCAGAGCCATATGTTACGTATTATGACTTTAATGTAGGAATCTGAGAGGGTACCTTTAGTCTGTAACCGACAGAGATAGTCACAGTAGAGCAGGACAGAGCAGTGGGCATCCCTTGTGGCAGTACTGAGGCCAGATGATGGGGAGGGGGTACCAGAGAGTCAGGAAGGGGGAATGCTGGCATCTCAGTCAGGGGCCCTTTCTGCACCCCAATGTCAGAGAATATCTCCCTCCTGCTCTGACCCATCAGTGACTTCCCACCACATTCAGAGTTAATCCAAACCCCACTGAGGTCCCTGTCTCCCTTCCCCACTCCACCCCTCTCCTCCCAGCATCCCTTGCTGCTCTCACCACAACATTGCTGGAGTGCACTGTGGTATGCGAGCTTGCTGTTGTGGCGTTTCCTTTCTGGAAATACCCTTTTTCAGGTTCTTTCCATGATGGGCTTTTCCTGCCTTAGCTTGCAGTGTCCTGTCTTCCTGTTTCTTCTGAAGGCGGTCTGTTCCTGACCCCTGTCTACCATTATTTGCTTATCTGTTTGCTTACTATCTCAAACCATGATGGCAAGGTTGGTGACCACATCAACATTCTGTCCCCAGCACTGAGAACAGTGCCTGCCACCTAGTGGGTGCTGTGTGAATGGTGTATGAGAAAGTAAATGCAGAGCAGGGCTTGTCTGGGCAGCGACTCCAGCTCAGGCCTGACTCACAGTGACAGTGTGCACCTGGGTGGGCCATACCCCTTCCCGCATTGTAATGAGATTAAATCTCCAGTCCTCTTGGCGCCCATACAAGCATTCTACATTGAGCAATAATTCAATTGAAAATTGAAATTACTGCTCACTCAGTCCCCAGCACCTCAAAAGATACTAAATGAATAAATAAAGAAATTACTGTTCACCATTACTCCAGATATCAGGCATGCTTGGGGCTACAACATCTTTTTGAGAAGTTAACAGGAATTGACCTATGGGGAGTGCATACCTTCCACCCCCTCAGGTCTGCCTGAGCTGGTGAGGCATTTTGCAGATGACCCAAAACTTGGTCGTGTCACTGTCGTCTTTGCAGGTGGGCATGCATGCGCCTTTTTAAAGATCACAAAAGTTATTAATACTGCAGGATTTTAAAATTGGGGACACAGACCAAGTGTACTGCTGGCTGCTTTTGTGGCTACATTGAGATACAATAGCGAGGACTGGGGTGCTGACCTCATTTCTGCATCACAGGGTTGGGGAGCTTGTCACCATGCTGAGCCTCCTGATCTTCCCTCAACTTCAGGATGGTCAGATCTTCTGGTTTATGTCAGGATTTGCTATGAAGGTATGGCGAAAACAGCTTTTCTTATCAGTGTCCCTAAGCCCCTGGGGACAGCCCTTGGACAAGCTTGTTCCTCATTAGCCTCCCCAACAGTAGAATTTTAAATGATGAAGCCCAAGGACTGTGGCGAAGTCCTTGATGAGCACTTGGAAGAGGGCAGGAGTGCGCTGGACTCCAGGGCACCTCTGCTGCTTTTCCACGCTGTGCAGATGCAGGGGTGCCATGTTTGAGGGAAGTGAATCAGGGTGGAGGCTGAGGAGTCATCTTTTAAAAACTCTGATTGGCTATCGGAATGTTTAGTTTATTTTTTCAAAGTGGGATTTGTAAATAAAGATGATTCTAGAAACATTATGGGACAAAGAAGAAGAAAGTAGAGCCTCATCAGGGAGTCAGTGGGGAGGCTTGGCTGGGAGAGCTGGCTTGTATTTGCTAGGTGTCTGATGGTCTTAGTCCATTCCCATTGCTATAACAAAATATCACAGACTATATGGCTTATAAATGACAGAAATTTGTTTCTCATGGTTCTGGAGCATGGCAAGACTCTTGAAGATCATGTGTCCGCTGAGGACGTACAGCAGATAACTGTGCTAGACAGATGGCTGCTGTCACACCCTCACATTGCAGAGTGGGTGAGGGATGGCTTGGGTTTCTTTCACAGAAGCATTAATCTCATTCATGAAGTCTCTGTCCTCAAGACAGAAGCTCTTCCCCACCTCCTAATCCTTCAGGGGTTAGGATTTCAATGTGTAAACTTGGGAGAACACAGGCATTCCTCAGCAAAACCTGCTCAGTTCACTGATGGTCTTGGGGATGGTGTCCTAGTTTTCTTCCCTATTGCTGTGATAGGACACCGACCAAAGCCAGCTTGAGAAGGAAAG